ATGGGCCAGACGTGTCCATCAAAGAGACCCGGTGGGTCAGGAACAGTGTAGTTACGTGTACTTCTCCTCCTTTTGCATTCATTGTATGGAACTGCCAAGTAGTAGCGTATGTCAAATAGGTCTAACAGTGGTTTGTAATTATAAAGCAGGAAGCCTTCAATGACCAGTATGTGGATATCTTTGGAGGTGGGAAAAGTTGAGCAAGGTATTCCTGCACCAAGATCTTTCTGCCTTTACAGATGGCCTGTGTAAGTACAGGAAGGCATAAAAGCATCTGGCTTATACTTTTGGTGCTTAGCTCTGTATTTTGTGTTATAAGGGACTGTTCTTAGTCTTAACTGTAAAAGAAGTTTGAGATCTCTTCGGTTTCGGAGCCAGTAGTCAAACTCTTACTTTTCAAGAGCTGCCTCTGAAATGCCAGTAAAGATTAACTGCTTCAGAGGCAGGGAGTATGGATAAGGATATGGGTAGAATATATGTATTCTACACATCTTTTGTAGAATAAACTCAAACTCCTAACTGAGGTAACTGAAACCAGTCTGCTCTAAATGTTTTAGTTCCAAGTGGTGTGGTTTGTGATCAAGCTGAACAGAATATTGGGAAAACTGTTCTCCTTAACCATCTGCTTAGTTGCAAATGAAACATACTCACTCTTACACCTGTATAGGGAGACAAAGTGTGACAAAGCCTGAATCACACATGAACTTATGGTCACCAGCCACTCTGGTAAGCAGACAAGACAGGGCTGACTTTTTTTGATTGCTGTTAAGCCCTTCTGGTTTGGCAATGATTTTGATACTCAAATATGTCGGGACCTTTATCTTAATGTAGGGCTGGGAACTGTCTTCTAATCTGTGCAGTGCTCTGGGATGTAGTGAGGTTCCAAAGTCATGTAGGAGCATAAAGAGATTGGCTTTTTTGGTGGTTTTTGTTTGTGGAGTGTCATTGGAGAAACTGTTTTTTCAGTAAGATAAAATCCTTTATTTTTATTTCAGTAGAATCACTAACTTAATCAAATTTTTTATTCCCTTCTGGCAGAATAATCATCCTATTCTTTTTGAAAAGTATAGCAGCATAGTAAGTGCATCCCAATCTACTCCACAACCACTTATTTCCTTCAGTAACAGGAAGAAACATATGCTTAGTATAACACAGCAGCTTAGTTTATTTAGAAATATGTTTAACTTTGCTGAAGAGACTCAGTAGGCCTAGGGGAAGGTACAAGAGAACTATTTGCTGGTAGAATTGGTGATTAGTAAAAGTAGCACTTCAGCACTTCTGTCTTTCTCAGTAGACCAAGATCCTTTCCTGAATATAGCTATCTTTACCAGTTCATAGAGGAAATGGTGTGTCAAATCCACCTTAAATTTTCTTCTTTTTCTGATGCCTTGCCTTCTTTCTGAAGTGGCAAACAGCCAGGATTTCCGGAAGACATTTTGGGTGCTTCAGTCAACCGATGTCCCTCTTTGCAGACATAACAGATATCTGAAAATCAGTTCTGAAATTATGCCAGTTACTTGATGTAGTCACCTAAAGATACTTGTCTGATATTTTCTGCTGATTTTACATATGGGGATTGCATAACATGCTATGTTCATAGAATCATGGAAGTTCTAAAGCTCCTCATTGTACTTGGGAATACTCAGTGGTTTAGTCTAATTTTTTTTTTTTTTTAAAAAACAAGGACCAAGATTTTTACACACTTAATTTCTTCCTAAGCTTAACTTGTTTAATTACAACCATTATATCTGAAGTAAGCCATTGGGGCTCTGCTGTGTTCTGGATGGACAACATGGTAAGCCAGTGTTGAACACAGTTGAGAATCTGACCTCACAGCCTAAAAAATCCAGGACTTTATTGCTAAGCAGCATCACTGACCCCTTCTAAAGGAACCACTGGTGCACTGCAGGCAAGCTGTTCAAACCCATCCAAATAAAAACAGAACTGAAGCATTTGCTAATTAAAAACAAAACAAACTCACACAAAGAAAACCTTTCAGCCGAGCCAAGCTAGAACTTCTGAAAATGAAGTTCACTCTCATTGTCCTGGTTTTGGCTGGGACAGAGTTAATTTTCTTCCCAGTAGCTGGGATAGTGCTGTGTTTTGGATTTAGCATGAGAATAATGTCGATAACACACTGATGTTTTAGTTGTTGCTAAGTAGTGCTTATGGTAGTCAAGGACTTTTCAAGCTTCCCGTGCTCTGCCAGGTGCACAAGAAGCTGGAAGGGGGCATAGCCAGGACAGCTGACCCAAACTGGCCAACAGGGTATTCCATACCATATGACATCATGCTTGGTATATAAAGCTGGGGGGAGTTGGCTGGGGGGCAGTGATTGCTGCTTGGAGACTGGCTGGGTGTTGGTCAGCAGGTGGTGAGCGGTTGCATCACTCATTTTTACTGGGTTTTGTTTCTCTCTCTCTTTTTGTTTGGTGTTTTTTCCCATTTCATTGTTGTTATTCTTTTATTTCAAGTATTAAACTGTTCTTATCTGAACCCATGAGTTTTCTTACTTTTGCCCTTCTGATTCTCTCCCTATCCCACCGGGGGGTGGGGAGGGTGAGCGAGCAGCTGTGTGGTGCTTGGTTGCTGACAGGTTAAATGATGACACTCGTTAATACTGCTGTAGTTCAAGTCCCTTTGGGGCACTGGCTACCAGTGCTAACTGTGTATGAATATGACGTATTCATACTTGCTGTGTTTTCTCTTCTTCGTTTTAATGAGGAGGCTCTGTAGCCTAGTCATGAGTGTTGCATCCCAGAAATGTCTAGCTCCGTTTCCTGTTAATGAAATTTTTTCATACAAACCTACATTCCACTGATTTCACTTTTCTTCCCAAGGGACTATGGATTCTGTGCAGCATGCAGGGATCACCCCAATCATCAGCACAGCCTGGTTTAAATGCTAATGTGTGTAAGTCACGTCTTGCCTTACAAAAACTGTGTGCCAAGTCCTTTTCCAGGACCCTTTACTTACCAGCATTCACAATACTTGGCTGCAACAGTTGATCCTCCTAAGGCTTTAAGTTTGGTGCTTCGCTACAGGTTTTTTCCTAACTTCCATTTGCCTTTGTTAATGGCACTGAACATCTGCCTCTTGTCTTAAGATACTGATAATTCCTGATGTCTTAACTGGGTACCAGCAAATTCAAGAGGCTGCTGAATTTTACAGAAGCCAATGGGTATTTCTTCCCCTCCAGTGTGTATTCTCCCTTAAAAGTGGTTTTCCCCATAACTCTGTTAATGTACACAGGTGCTACACAGAGTCCAACCCACACCAGATACAGTAGATATTAATGTGACGTTGTACGTATCAACAAGGATGCAATAACTATATATGACTATTCAGCCTTTGGATATGTTTTGTCTTCTTTCCTGCGTCTTTGGTCAAAGTCATTAAAGTGCTTCATATCTTAGTGGAAACCTTTTGTGTTTTTTCCTCCTTGATCCTTAAACCTTAAGGAACTTAGTGATGTAGGTTCTTTGTCTCATGTGAGTCTCCAATACTGAAACAAATGATTCTGGAAATGCAAATGCTCTTCATTGAATCAGTCAGATGCTAGGGATTAGGTTTTATTTGTACAAGAACAGTCTGAGTTACTTTAAGGTTCAAGGAGATAGACACCATCTAATGAGATAATTTCTCTAAAAAAATGTTAGTTTATCCTTTTTGGGTAACTGCTGTTAGTTTTTTTTCTCCTTTCCTATAACTGTGGTTTCTTTGTATATAAGTGCACACTTCACTTAGCTGGCTTAACAAAATGGAAGTTCCTCTTGAAAAACTTTATTTTAGGAACTTTTTGCTATCTGTTTGTTATTTCTAAGCCTGAGATTTTCACATTAGATCCATGTACATTTATTTTACTATTTACACCTATCACAGTACATTAACATGGAATACCATCACACAGACAAACCAGCTACTGACGGCTAATATAAAGATACTGGATTCCACACGGCTTAATCTGCATAGAGACCAGAAACACATCTAATGGTGAAACACAGATAAGTCTTTCTGTATTTCCCTTAGTTTCAAACCGATTTTGTGTAGAATGTGATCTTCCTACCAGAAATATCTATTTCTGTATTTGTGTATTTGTCTTGTGGTCAATTTGCCTTGGGTGGCTAGTGTCTTCCTATGCTTGATAGCTTATATTTCTTATGGTCATGAAATATGCAATTAATAGTTCTTTTAAGCATTGTTTAAATATTAGTTAAATTTTGTTTGTCTTCCACTCTCCTCCCAGCAACCTGCCAGCGATACATAATCTCATACTGCATGTAACTTCTAATAGTGGACAAAACTCTCTGGGTGAATATTTCTCTGACTCCATGTGAAATGGAGATCTAAAGGAGAAATGACACAGCCTTGGACTACATCATCGATTTGCAGATTACTGTAGCTGTGCTTGCTTGAGATTTATTTTCCCTGGTGCAACCAATATTCATTTGACTTCGGTAATTCAGAAATCATACGGGATATAAAAATCTACTTCTACTTGCAGCATCCTTGTCACTGATCCTCATTCTTTAGGAAGAATTGGAAGTGAAACTCCACAGCAAAGTAGTTGAACATCACACTAGTTTGATAAGTATTTTGTATGCAACATCAGTTATCCTAAAGTTGCTTCATCTATCAGTTGTGCTATATACAGCATTGGTACTTGTGGCTTTTGTTTTGAGAAGTAGCCAAAATAGGATTTGTCAGCCATTTTTGAGTGCTGTTTATCAAGGGGGAAAAGCGTACAAAGCGTACAACAAATTCTTAAAGTGATGGCCTACTAAAATTGCGGTTTTACACCTTACTGGATGAAACATACCCTGTTTTCATTCACTTTTATCACTGGGGTGTTTTTGTTGACTCTACTACAGATCTTTTATGGTCACTGGACAGCCACTATATAGATTTCTTTTGGTTTTAGGCATGCGTGTTGAGTGATCCATGCAACAGTGAAGAACCTGCCATTGTACATTTCATATATTATTGTTGTACCAGTTGCTCTTGATTTCGTTAGCAGGATGCTGTTAGTTCCCCTCACCCTACAGTTTCATTCAATGAAAACATCTGAAAAGACAAACATGGTAGAGAGCCCAGAGCTACATGATGCTGCATTGTGTGGCCCCACAACAATCTTTAATAATAGCCAATCCTGCTTTGGCAATGGTGGGCTTGCTTGGAGGAGGTTCTGCCTTCTTTTCTGCTGGGCTGCCTGCAATGTTCAAAAGAGGACACCATTAAAACCAAGAGCTGGTCAAACTATTTCTTCTGACTTCTGGCTTAAAGAATGCAAGCCTTTCCTGCCCTTCTCCCCCTGCCCCCTAATTTTTTAACTCTTGTTTGAACAATACATCTAACACTTTGGTAGTAACCAAGCTGGTATGCGGGTTGAAACTAAGGAGTTGAAGAACAAAAATAGTGCTCAAATTGATTCTCTCATCAACTTGGATGTTGTAATTAGGAGAACAAGATAAAGGTAGGTTTTGATTTTTCAGGGTGAAAAGAATCTTATCTCTAACATTGCATTTAAAAGCAATGACATGAAGTAAACTAACAAGGGAGATAAATCATGCTCCCTGTGACTAAAAAGATATAAATAATTAGTGATGCACCTTAAAATGTCTCTATTAACCTTGTACTTGAACTTCACAGTCATTCCACATCCTTCTGGAAACTCTTTAGGAAGATCTTGATTTGTGCAAAATGGCAGTGTGTTTGGATACAAACCTCTTCAGCTGGTGGACCAAATTCACTTTCTAAGAAGGGCACCACTTTCGCTTGACTATCTCCCTGCCTAAGAGCTCAATTTGAGACGGATCAAAATCAATCTGTTAACTTTTACAGCTCATGTTGTGACTGTTTTGTTTGAAAGCTGCAGCTATGTGATCCCTTGGAAGCTTTTAATCTGCTTAGTTTCTGAGAAATTAGTGTGTTTGCAGTTCTGTCCATAAGTGATTTGGGTTGAGGTGATCAAAAAGCCTATTTATGCTGGTAAGAAGTAAGAAATTTGGGGCAGCTGTGCAAGTTTGCAGTCTTTTCTCTAGTTTCCATCTTGTCTGCAGTAAAACAGGCAAACTTTGCTTCTGATATCCTAGTATATATCTTAAGAGGTTTTTTCCCAGTTATTTTTGCAGAACCAGATGGGAAAATGATTGGCAAAAATAAACTTAGCTGCTTATAAAAGCAGGTTGTGGCAATGTGTATTCAAATATACTTTGCATATTTAAAACATACAAAGCAATTTTAAAATGGCCATAGATGACTTGGATTCAGTTTTAAGCGGTAATTGGGCATCTGAATTCTAAGTGGCCAGCAATTGCTGACACACTATCTTTTTTCAGGATGATCTAGCTAGATTAACCTAGCTTTTGGCAGAGGCTGGCCCAGCATGACCTCTGAAAATGCTCTTATCCAATTGTCTTTAGAGTTTTTCCTATTGTTCTTATTTTTTTTTAATGTTTAGGAACTCACTGGTAGGAGATTGTGTTGCTTTGTCTAAAGGTTTTAACTTGGTGCGAAGGAATTCAGCCATCTCTTTGTCTTCTTCTTTCTCTCTGGTGGAAAAAAAGAAAATAAATGTTACAGAAATAATGTTTTCTCTGTAAATGGGACAGTTAAAGCTAGAGTAGCTAGGATCAAATCACTAGTAAACAATTAACTTGTTTGTTCTTTTTTAAAAACACTTAATTTTGCTGCTTATTAAAGAGCAAAATATTTGCCGAAATGAAAACTGTAACAAACTTCTTGTAGAATTCAGAGAGAATTTTCCCTCAAGGTTCTTTACTGGTCTCTGATAGTGTTGGATTCATTATATTCCCTAGTCAGTGGATTTAAACCATAATGTATCGCCTACTTTAAGTTGGCCTCACAAGTGCTTCACAATGCTTCCTCTACAAAGTAAAAGAGAGGATACATATTGGTGTGATTGTACTGCTTATTTTTAAAGGCCTGCTTAGACAAAAGACTGGATCTCATGGTCTTCTGCTGTTAGTGTTTACCAAAACCAAGTATATTTCTCTTTGCCTGAAGATGACAGCATTAGGCCCAAAATAAAAAGATTGTGTTGCTAACCTTGATTGTATCTATTAATGATATTTCCATGTTAGCTTCTTTGCTATTTTGTTACTTAAACATTAAAAATGAGCACACTGAATATCTCAGTTTAGAGGAAAAGCAGTTTTTATTATCAAGAGTTTTAAAGAAAAGCCTCAGGTTTTACTGCAAATGTGAATTGACACTAATGTGTTCACATCTGCATAGTGCATAGCAGTACATTTTCAGCAGCCTACAATTAGGCTTCTGTATTGTCTGGCTGCTGATGAGGTTTTTGGAATTTGCACATCGAACCAGCAGTTGAGAGCCCTGGATTACATTACTAGCTCAGGCTTCTTGTCAGCTGTTGACTTTGGCCAGCTCTCTTTGATCAGCTGTAGGACTCTGGCAAGCTTTTTTCTCTCCTGTCCTTTGCTTGCTTAGAATTTAAATGTGTTGGAAGAGATATTGTCAGTTAGGATAAATGGATTGATGAGCCTTGAATGTTTACTGTTGAAAGAGACAGGGGAAGTAATAGCAAAACTCTGATTATTTGTAGAGTGTTGGGATCTCAGTGCAACAGCTGGAAATGAACTTTTAAGGAAGACCACAGGTTTCTCAGCAACTTTGGGCTAAGATACCGAGATGAAACCATTCTGAGACTTGCTTATGCTTTAGGTTGTGTAGACCTGTGATAGTGCTTGCATTCTCTTTTTTTTTTGCTATGGCAGGGTGAGAATAGTAATAATAAAGCCTGACGACATTAATAATTTGTTTAAAAAAGAAAAAAAAGAAAAAGGCAGGTTTTAGATGTCTACAAATTTGCCCCTGGTAGAATTCCATTTCATGTCTACTTCTCATGCCAAGAGGATCCTCTGGTAGCAGCACAAATCCTTCTCTTTTTAATGGTAAGTGCCCAGACACTTTCTGGTAGGAAAGTAAGAGACCAAAGCCCGCTGTAGTCATGAGATGACTGAATCATTAATGGGATAAAAAGCCACAGAAGTGCAGTAATCTAGTTTTAATGTTTTTCCTATGGAACTGGGAGGAGGCTTTTAACTTGGTAAGTTGTTTTAAAGGACCAATTCTCTCCTATTAATGTCGATGTAAATTTTGTCAATCACTCCAGTGTAGTATTAGACTTGTGAAATCTCACTAGGAAGTTCAGCTGCTTTTAGTTCTTACCGTAATCTCTCCACCTCTGCATCATCTACAAGAAAATCTCTTTTTTGTACCAGTCTATGGATCTTCTGAATCAGTTCATCCTCTCTTTGTTTCTCCATCTTTGTTTTTTCTTTTTCTGGTCAAAAACAGAGAAAAGAGACTATTACTTTAGATTCTAGGGCCGAGGGGTGGGGGGAATGGACATCGCAGATGTCTAAGAATGAATTGTTGATTGAAGCCAATGGTTCTTTAGACCTGAGTCCTCAAAACCCCAGCAAGTTCTGGTCACTGCCTCTTTTCTCTCTTCCACTTGCTGCTGTTATGTCTGATCAGCTTAATCGTCTGTAGACTGTGGGGCTTGCCAAGCCTACTTTTAATATTAAATTACTCTGCAAGACACTGCTTTGAATTTTTTAAAGAGCTTTGGTAAGAAAACAGTCCAGGATGCTTCATTAAAATCCATGGTACAAACTCCCTTTAACCTCAGGAGAAATGAGACCACACCAAAAGGAACCATTTCTCTGCATTTCATGACAGCTTTGGCTGTTGACTACAACACTTTTTTCTACTCTGGTAAAGCAGGTGAGCTGCAAATCCACACAAAAAGCATAAACTGTAAAATGTGGAAAAATAAATGAAAGTGTTTATTTTCCCTGTGCTTCAAAAATCTGAGTAATTACTATATGTCCTTGTTAATTGGCCAGTCTGTAATGACTAGGTTGTCTATAAACAACATTTTTTGTGACATGAAAGATGTGCCTGTCACAAACTAAACCTCATGAATATTAGGGATTACAGAGCTGTAGTTAAGGTTATAAAGCAAATGTAGTTAAGACAGAAATCTTCAAACTTAGCAAGTGGAGCAGAGATGAGAAAGCCAGAGGCAAATCCCAGCCTATGTATTTCCTCAAGAAGCTGAAAATTTTGATTAGCTGAGAAAACACTTTGTATTAAATCAAGAATTTTGGTTTTGAGCAGTAGAACTGCATTTAGAGAATCATAAAATTAAGTACAGTAAGAGTTGTGGGAAGAAATGCAAGCTACCTGCAGTCTGATGCATCTGAGCTATGTTATGTCTGCTGATTGAACTTACAAGATATTTTTAACAGCTAAATAAATCAGACATTTGAAAATAATTGATACAGCTTAATTTTGGATCATAGACTTCAGGACACTTATTGCTGGGAATTCCTGCAATAAATCCGTTCCTTAGTAAGTGACATAAAAGTACCCTGAATATATTTTTAAGACAATGAAATTCTGTAAGTCTCAATCTTAGAAAGTCATGCTCCTTGGAGAATTTTAAATTATGGTCTGCCAGTAGCAGGGGAAAGAATTTGTAATATAACATAAGGCTGCTCTGTCTGTGATGTATTTTCAGTGTGTTATCTTTTAGAAATGATAAAGGAAGGTGCTTACTGACTGCTATGAAGATTTCAAGACCTCTACATTGTTACCTATGGAGAATTCCTGTGATTAATGCTGAATTTGCAGCAGAGAAAAAAAGAGAATGCTTAGAAATGTTTTTTCTTGCTTTGCCTCTTATGTCTATGGAGCAAGGGATCTCCTCCTCTCACTACTGAAGGTAAAAGTTACTTTCTACTTCATTTCAATGTATCCTTTTCCCAGATTCAGATGTGCTCTCCCATGATATCCTTCAGGAAACTGCCTGCCAAATATATGCATCCTGAATTGTGGCAAAGTATTGCATACTCTATGTACTATAAGACTGATCTCATGTCTACTGAAATTGGCTAAACCATGTCTACTGAAACTAAAGAGCAGGTATCTCTAAAAATCTGTATACCAACAGGAAAATTATGATAAAGATGTTATGAATGAACCCATTTCTGGAAAGTATTTTTCTAGGTTAGGCACAAGCTGTGTAACCACTTAGTTCTGTGTGAATGCCAGCAGCTTCTTTGTCTTCGTTGAGACAAAAGTATTCTTGTTGCGAGTCTGTCAAAAGGTGGTGCTGCTGGAACTGCGCATACTTAATTCTTAAGTTTGCTGAGATTTGCAAAGTGCTAAGTAGAAACTGCTGTCTGTGGATCTCTGCTTAAGACTTTGTGACTGGAAAATAGTTTCTAAATGTTTTTAAAAAAGAAAAAAAAAAAGCCCACAAAAAAAAAGAAAACTGATCAACCCTAACTAAGTTAAAAGTAAGGGTAGGAAAGCTGCAGTCTAGAAGAGGTGAGGCAAGGGGAATCATTCATAGATTATTTTCTAGGATTCATAATCCTTTCCAATACCATTTAAACCAGTAACGTACCAACAGTGTTACTAGAAATTAAAAATGTGACCTGTAAGTAACTAAGAGGTATAAAGAAAGAAAAATAAGAAAGACTATGAATCCACTTTTGTTGGGTGCAGAGAAAAGTGGAAAAGTTCTTATACAATTAAGAACGTGTGGCCTCAGAGTAGACCTGTTTCCTATTTCATGAGTGACCTTCTCTCTCCTTTCTGGGGAGAAAGTTAAAGTTGCACAATAAAATGCGGGGGGGGGGGGGGGAAATAAGAATAACCAAAGGAGAGTCAAAACTTAAAAGAAATGGGGGGGGGGGGGAGCGAAATAAGAATAACCAAAGGAGAGTCAAAACTTGTCCTTAATAGTTAGGGAGCAGCAAATTATTTCTGAAGAGTGCTAGAGGCCATGCAACAATATCTAGTGTAAATGGCCCACTGCAGTCTGTACTTTTTTCTTGAACAGAGTAGGGCTGTTGTGGATGATCTAAAACAGCAAAGCTGTAGTGAAGCAAAATTCCTCATTGATTTTAGCCGGAGTTTGGAGTTAAGGACTGCAAAACTGCCCACCACTCTGTCGCTCCTTAGAGCAGTGAATTTGCAGAGAATTAAGGCAAAAGAGAAAGCAGACTTTTGCCCCTTGCTTTTTATAGAAACCCATTTTACTTTATTCTAGAATTTACTTTATTCTAGAACGTAGACTTAACTACAGGTGTGACAATGAATTGGTGTATCTAGGAAAAAATCAATCACGTTCACAGTGATGGTTATAAATCCCTCTCCTTTCTCCCTTTTATCTCGGGTATCTCAGCACTCTGTCTTTTCTACCTGACAATCTCCATGCCACTTGGTTCCCTTGAGATTGCCAAAAGAGTGCAAGATTTAAGGAACGTGCACCTTGTTTGAGTGATATTTGCAGAGCTGCTGTCAAGGGAACAGTGAAATACAGCATGGAAAGAAATTTAGAGGCCAGCAGATAAAAGATGGGAAGGAAAAAGTGAAGAAAAAATAAAGACTAGAGGAAAAAGATATGAAACTCAGCCTTGGGGGTAGATTTCTGATTGTTAGGGGCAGAGGTGTGTTCCTGACACCACCCTACCTGTGCATCACCCAAGCATTATCCTAATATTGGGTTGGAGACAGCCATTACCTGGGATTGCTACCAAACTCTGCAGCTCTTTCTTAAGGTTCATAATGTCTTTGCACAGCTGGATGTCATCCATCCTGCAGAAACAGAAAAAGCATAGTCAGAGACATGCAAACTCCATCCTGTGTTGATGGGATCAGCCAGATCTCATCTGAATATATGGTACTGTCCCTTGCCTGGGACCTATGCATCAGCTTGAAATGCAGAGGTTTAACCTTGGAATAGCAGAATGAACTGATACTGTTCATTCACAAATTTTAACAGCAAAAGGTATTTAATACTAAATGCCTGTCGAGCCCTTGATTACTTGTCTTACTGGGATCTAATTTGTGTGTAGGTCATATCTGTCACTGCAGATTATTTCAGATGCCTTTTGCTTTCTTGAATGTCACCGAACATTTTGGAACAGTCATTCAAAGTCATGAAAGAGACAGGCGTGCCATATTGCACATACTGCAGCAACAGTTTTCACTAGGGAAAAGAGTAAGGATGAGAATAACAGGGAACCTGGAAAGGGGCAGCAGAAGCTGATACATTATGTGGCACAGCCAAGACAAAGTTTATATTCCACTACCAACTTTCTTTGTGACCTTACTAATAACTTAGCCCTGATACCAAAGATCTGTCATAATTTGGCATCTAACTATTTTGAGGTTTTGTGCCTTGGGTGAACGTCTTCCATGGTTGATGTGAGTGCTTCAAATCCTTGATGTGTGCAGAAAGTCCATTAATGTTAAGACACAGAAGACAGCTAAAAAAAAAATCTGTAACATCAGCAGAAACTGCACCTTCAGTTCTTATTGAAACTGATACCTATCCTGAGAGCTGCTATACTGAATTATTCCCCTGGAAGCTAGCAAACTTCAGCATTAGCTTCCTGGCAAATGTTGTATTTTACTGTCTCAGCCATATTGGCAGCCAAGGCTCAGGTGTTGGTTCTGAGGGCTGCATCAGGGGCTTCCATTTTGAAATCACGCCCTGAAGAATATAAAAAACAGCCCTTGTGATTAACTGTACATTCTTCAACTCAGATGTCACCAACACTATCCTTGCCCACAGATCTCCTTGTTTCATAATCCTGTGTCTGAAGAGTGGATTGTCTGTTGCTTAAGCACCTGAAGGTAGCTGAAGTGCTATCGGAACATGGGTTGTCACAGTGGTATTTCAAGAGAGGAAACCCAAGAGATTAGAGAGTGTGTGTGTGTGTGTGTGTGTATGTGAGAGCAAAAGCACAAAGGATAATGCAGTCAAATTATTAAATTAAGTGAGGAATGGAAGAAGTAGGTGTTTCTGGCACAAATAAGATTTTAATCACAACCCAAGAGCTTTTATTCTCCCTGCTGCCTCTGCATGGAACGCAGGTCTCCACAGGGAGCTGTCCTTCAGCTGCTTTGCTCATATTATTAAAACATGTTGATCCTTTTATTATTTGCTGCTTTGGTTAACTCCATCTTGTCTGTTCTGCTACTTTCATTGTGCTATGACAGCTGTTCCTGCTGCCTTTTTACTTCTTTCTTCCCAAAATACGACAGTGAAATACCTCTGATAATAATCTTTATTGCTGACCTCTTTTCCTTGTTTAGGTGCCACTGTCACCTCTGCTGGGGATCTGCTCTCCCACCATACATCTGTCCTGTAAGACTTACTTTTATTGGGAAGATCAGCATGCTAGCCTCAGGGCTAGTCCATGGTTCACTGCTGCATGTGTTCAGGACACTTGGAGGCAGAGACATTTATACTGATGATTATTCTTTCTTGGGCTCCCCATATTATTCATGCTGATCACAAGCAAAGCCTGTTTTACTCTTGAGATCCATCATGCTAAATGGTACTGAAATTACTTTTATCAATTAACAATCTTAAACACTATCCCCTCAGGAGAATCAATATTCAAAATGTGCTGGGATGTAAGCAAGCCTCACAGCTTCTTATCCATTCAATGTTCATGCAGTTTGGGTGTTATATTAATATATAATGAGTGTTAATATATTTGAGGAAAATTACTATGGTTAACAAAGATGACAGTTTCTTGGCGAGAAATGTTCAGTATTGAACTGCTGTATGCAAATGATATCTAGCGGCCAGAACCTCAACTAGGGAGGAGACCAGTGAGGTTCTACAAAAGAGAGCTCCATGACATACAGAGAGAGGATATTCTTTTTCCTGTATCAGGTAGACTGGGCTTCATTCTGGGAAGATCTGAAAGATACTAACTAAAATATTTCACTGTATCAGTTTGGCTCCCTGCCCTCCTCAAGGAACTCCCAAAAGCTAATGTCACTGCTCTTCTCTCAGGATTTGCAAAAATTTAAAATATCATTGGCAGTATGTTCCAAGCAAGCAAGACCATCGATGTTCAGTAGTCCCTGTGCTCAATTTGTGGCAAAGGTACTGGCCTCATTTTGCAACTGTAGTTGCAATTCCTCCCATTATTTTGGCTCTTTTTCAATCTGACTGCAGAGCATATAGCTAGCACTCTCCATATATATTCTTAGCATCTCTTTTTCCTGAGACTTAAATTTTGTTCCTGCCTTGTAACTCCCAGGAAAGAAGTAAGTACGTGGCCAAGCACTTAAGGGCTGTAACAGCTCTGTGACAATCTGAATTCCAAAAGTCATAAGCCAGATGACCTCTCCGGAGGCCCAGCTCTGTAGGCTAGTGCATTTTGATGACTAAACCCACCATCTGTACCAATCCCCTTAAGCACATGGAACATCTTTCCTCCCATCTGTGTCAAACAGCCTTTGTGTTTCATCCACTCCATGGTGCTGATTAGGGGGAAGAAAAAAAAAAAGAGATATGGTTAAATGACTAAAGGAGGGCTATGGGACATATTCATAAAAATCATGTGAAGGCTTCTTCCATCTGACTTAATGAAAGCAGGAGGTGTAGTTGCTTGTAACTATAAAGCACATAACACATCTGCTAGCAAATAATACTGAATGTAGGACTACAATTGCTGTCCTGGGCAAAAGTACCTTGTTGCCCTCAAAGAAAAGGGAAGAGGAGGAACTCGGGAAAGAAAGCTCTTGGAAGGCCATTCAATCTGTACTGGTACTATGAATCTTTTTCTCTTTTCCCCCTTATGTTCTGGTTCTTGGATGTTACAGGAGGCCCAGGAGAAGTTAATGCTGCTTCTAAAAAAAAATCAAATCCCAGTGGATTTCTCATCTGAAAGCTGGATAGTCAGCAGGGTTTGACTGAAAGCATATTTGTATTACTGGCAGACCTCTTTAGGAAGTAAAAAGAGCTTTTGGGAATTTTAAAGAGAGCAGGAATCTGCAGAGTAAAGAAAACAAAACTCCTTTGTGTCCCCTAACCTTCTACAGAGAAGCTGGAGAACACGCTGAGCCTAATTCTGCAGCACTTTCTTTCCTATATTATAAGTCAAATCTATCAGAGTGCAAGACAGACAAGAGGAGAAGTTACACAGACTACTGTCCAGCTTATTTAAGAGCACTGTTATGCTCCCTGTGTACCTGGTGCTTTTCTCAAAGGAGAGGAGCACAGTCAGGTGGTTGGTCTGTGCAGAATGCAATGGCTTTTTCCCTATGGATACAGCATGGCACAGGGTACTGAAATGACACCCTTCAGGCTGGTTTATCTGCAAAGCTGCTTGAGACATTTGCATAAAATTTGCAATATACAAACAACCTTTGCTGGATTCTCTGTTCTCTAGAATAGATAGTACATTCTTTCCAATCCCTGTGAAATCATTTTTGATATTGTAGAAAAAACATCAGTAAAGCAAACAGCAGTTACAATATGCCAGTTTTTCCCCCAGAGCCAAGTTTTAAATGTCTGCCCAGCTATCTTAAACACGTGAGTTATGAACACGATAAAACATTTCTCTTATTAACAGCCCAAATCCATTCCTGGAGTAATTGCAATAGTATTGAATTAGGGATGAATCCTTGGTGTGCTTTCACGTATTCCTGACACACTGTCTGCAATTCTGCTTTTCTGTTTCTTGATGGCTTATTGCAAGAAACCCTCTGTATGCTTGGAGATATCACATAAGCATGTATTATTCTTTTCTCTCTTGGTATTTCAAGCTATATCATGAAAACCTAAAAGCAGGTTTTTATGTTTGCCCAAAAAAAGGTAAAATAGCTCATAATGAATAAACAGCATGAGCAAAAGATTTTCTAAACATGTCACAAAATGACAGGAAAATAAGTGGGTCGGAACAGTCTGCAGTAATCTGGCCCAGTGACTCAGCCCCAATACGTGTTTCTGTGGTCCAGTTACGAGGAGAAGAATGCTCTAAGCACTGTCATTCCCATAAAATCCACAAGTGAGGTGAGAGCATGAGTCACCTCTGCCGTGCACCATCTGGACTGAGGGGGAGCAGGACAAGGAAATAGAGAGGAGACCTCCCATTCAGCTGTGCCCTGGCAGGTCTCAGAGGCTGTGGAAGATAATGGCACGCAGGACTTAAAAAAGAAACGTTCTGTACTGGACAGAGAAGTGGTTTGTTTTGTTTCATTAGAAATTATTCCATAACAGCTAAATTTTTCTGTCATCTTTTCAGCTGAGGAAGAAAACCAAATTCCCTAGTGTAAGACCTAGTACCATCTAGAGCCATGGATGGAAAAAAAGCAAAAATGATAGTAAAGGGCAATAGGAAAATCACTAAACGCTCACCTTAACGGTCAGCCAAAGAAAAAGAGATGGCCAACAAGCTTTTCAAATGCTTAAGATTTGAGAGTAAGAATTATTAATAACAGCTACATAAGCAGCAAATATCTTTTTCTTTGATTTCTGGACAAGCAGAGCAGTTCAGCGTGTCTAGAGAGCTGCTGCCTTTGCTGAATGACTTTCAAAGCTAGAAATAGATCTGTGCTCCCTCTAGCATGTCTATAAGAGGAGGTCTGAGATTCTTTTGTCTTCTGTTATTAAAGTGCTTGAAGTTAAAAATGAATGTAGAGTGGTTTTTTTGGTTTCCTTCCCTCTCTGCCAAGAGGGTTTGCAGGCACTTAGGTTATTTTTAGTTCTGTTTTAATATATTCCTGTTGCAGAAGTAAAATGCTTGTAATTGTTAGAGTTTCTCAAGACTTTGATAATGCCAGTCTAG